CCCTTCCGCGTGGACGCTGAGGCCGCCTGGGCCTGGGGCCCACGTGGGTGCGCAGGGGCGAGGGGACAGGAATGTGCCTGGAGCCCCACGGAAGCAGGCACGGAGGCGCGCGGCCCGCGCCGGAGGGGGCAGGCGGGAGGGCAGGGCTGAAGGAGGAAGCTCCCGGCTCCGGGGCGAACCCCCAAAGCGCCCAGCACCCCCGCCACACTGCCGCGGAGGCCTCCCAAGTCCCGCCCCCCCGCTCGCCCGCTGACCGAACGAGTTGAGAAAGTCCGCGATTTTCTTGATGCTGCTGGTGATGACCTCGATGTACTCCCGGTTCGCCCAGTCCTGGTGAATCTCCCGCTGTACCGGGTCCTCCTGCCCCGCCATGGCTGCCGCCTGAGAAAGCGCGTCTGCGCAGGCGCCCGGGCGCGCCAGGCCGCCAGTGCGCCTGCGCCGCCGGCCAGCGCCTACCCTCAGCCCCGCGCCAATCCACGGGCAGCGTGCGCGCCTGCGCACTGCCACGTCCTCGCGGTGTTTTCGCTCTCCGCCCACGCGTCTGAAATCGACGTTTCAGCGCCGGGGAAACGCAGTGCGCACGCGCCGAGAGCTCCCCACGCCACCCCCATCCCGGGCCCTGGCAGTTTGGGGCGTTAAGGAGCTCGTGGGGCTTGGTCGCATCCCCCTCGTCAGCTGCTGCAAACCAAGGTTGTGGCCTGTGTCAGCAAAGAGATGAGCTTGACCAGCTGAATCCCGTTAACCACAAACCACTGGCTACAGCGCCTTCACGGCGCGGCTCGGCGTCCCTCGTTGGTTTATCCGTAGTTACAAAGGGGACAGACACTTGGTCGGGTAATGCCCAGGGGTGGGGAGACGTGATGGGCTTGTAAATAAACAGCAGGCCAGGCAGCACAGCACTGCCTGTCGGAAGGAAATTTAACTGGAAACAGCCATAAGCTACCTAATAATCATTTCATTATGAAAATCGCTGGAGGGGTGGAGGTGCTCATTGTGGTATCAAAAAAAAAAAAAAAAAAGCCAGCTCCGTCTCAACAGTTGGGGTACTGTTTGTAGCTGCTCATAGCACCTGTTAGCCGCTGTGTAACTGCTGATTGTGATCACAGCCGTTTAACACATAAATTGAAGGAAAAAACAAAATACAAATGTTTCTGTAATGGCAATCATGCAAAAGTTATGTTTGCTTGAGGACAAGTTAAATATGCCCCAAATGTCTCTATTTAGTTTGTCAAGGTAGGGAAATTATGGGCGATTTCATTTTTGTTTCAGGGAATACTGACAATCTGGTGCAGTAAATGCCTTTTTTTTTTTTTTTTTTTTTTTTTTGGTAAGAATCAAATATCTCCCAGACACATCACTAAGGTTGTCTGGAGTAGCCAGTATTTTGTTAGACTTTTTTTTTTTTTTTTCAGATACAACCGTTTGCACAGAGAAACTATTACTAACAGTCCTCTGCTCTGGGAGATTTCAGTAGCTATAATAAAGCTGGCTCACAACTATTATCTCATTGTACCCTTACAAACACTGAAGTCAGAAGGGGGTTTTCATTCTACAGAGGAAAAAACTCAAGTTCAAGGTCACAGCAAGAATTAAGTGGTGGCCCTTCACCATGACTAGATTCTCTTAATTTTGACTCTGAAAAGAGGTTCAAGTCTTTATATGGGCACTGCTATGTATTCACAAAGTGATTCCTAAAATACCGTCAAGGTGTCTCCGAAATGATTGTTGAAACAGTATTCTGCTCATTCAAGTCAGATCAATCTGCTTTCCCATAAAGGAGGATATCCTAGTTTCCAACCCCAGGCCCACCAGAAACAGGTCACCATTCTGTGCTTTGGTTTCCTTGTCTGTAACAGTAGGCTAGCAGCAGGTGGGGCAGCAGCAAGTGGGCAAGAAGGCACAGCAGGCACAGAGCCTGGCCCTCAGAGTAGCACTCCTGGCCAGTTCGCTCTGCTCTTACGCAGAAAGCATCTCTCCAGTGAGTTACGGTCTTCCACCGACAAGGCCGCCTCCATTCTTCTCCTTTTGCTGAGTTCCTACACACCTGTGCCAGGCTCTCCCCTGTAATTCCAGGCGACGGGAGGATCTGATGCCGTTCTGCAGAATACTCCTTCAGACTTCTGGACTTCCTCTGCGCTTTGTGGACTGGCAGTCTAGCATTTCTTCAGTCAGGGTTTGCAGTGTGCTGGCTCTTCATTGGAGGAATTGTTCTGATGCAATGCAGGGTTGCACAGGAAAGCTTTGGGGATGCTGCCAGTGCATCAAGGGATGCTTCAGGGTGGCAGGTTGCTTCAGCATAAACCAGGGCTCTGCTTCGAGTTGATTATACATTTCATGGAACTTAGGGAATCCTGGCAGTTCCAGGTATAAAAATAGGACAGAACTGAATTCTCGGCCCTCCCTGGGGGCCCAACAGGGTAAAGTGCAGCCCTGTGAAGCTGGCCACAGCCACTGCAGCACGAATTTGATCCCTGGCCAGGGAGCTAACACATATGGTGCAACAGAACTCTCCTGTCTCACCTGCTGCTCCCTTCCCACACCTCTGGCCTACATCAGTTCCTGTATGCATAAATGAATAAATCTTTTTTAAAAACTCATTTTGTTTGCTTTTAAAATAATGTGTCTAAATAAAGGTTACTGGGTAAAATGTGTAATTAAAAATCATTTCATCTCTGCCTCTCTCCCTTTCCTGACCTGCCCACAATCTCTCCACTTCCTGCTCCTTCCACATAACACAGCTCACAGTTCTGGATTAATCCCTTCAAATCATGCGTCTTGCAAACCAGGATCTCAGCCTGACCCCGTGCCTGGCACCCAGTCTCTTCCCTTCAGCTTAATCTGAAGAACCAGACAAAAAGAGGGAGCTGGTAGTGCCGTGTCTTACAGGTGACAAAGAGGACAGTTTGCAGTTGAACAAGACAAAGGCAGGTGAGTCAATAGTTAATTCGCCCCACAGATACTGTGCTGGGCCCTGGGGTGGGGGTTGACTGGGTGGACCTCTCCCCCAGGGGGGAAGGCTTATTTATTGCTAAATGGTATGGTCCGCTTTCACCATTGCGCAAGGGGCAATTTTCAGTGAGTACAGCACAGTGTAGGCCTTTCTGGAGCTGAAGAAGGTAGGGCGTTTTCTCACTGGGACTCAAGGGAAGACCTGGACCCTGGCTCTCCCTGGGCCAGCTTTTGTGTGACCCTCCCTGACTGATTCCTGAGATCATTCCACGGCGGTAGCCAAGGCTTGAGCACCTGGGTCCTGAGCCTGAACACCCTCGAGCAGGGTTAACGGTGGCGTAGCTTTTCCCACGGCTGTAGGGCTGGTCTTGCAGGCGGGCTCGAGCCTCCGCAGTGGGGGTGTCCCGCCTGTGACGGGGCAGGGGTGTGGGAAGGGAAGGGAAGAGGCCGCCGGCCTCGAGCTGGTGCTCAAGACTAAGTGCCAGACCGCGTGTCCCGGGAAGGTGGGGGTGGGGAGTTCATCCGGACGCACCCTAGCGGGGCGCCTCGAGACCAACCCCCACGCACCCCCCACCCCGCCCCCGCAAAGGCTCGGGGCTCCCCGAGGTCCTGGGTCACAAAGGCGGTTGCCAGGCGCCCGGTGGAGAAAAGATGCGGCCGGGAACAGCAGCCGCACTCTGGAGCGTGCCGCCCGCGGAGTGCAGCGGGTGAGCCCCCGCCCGGTGGTGGGGCCGGGTGGTGGGCTCGGGTGGGTCCCCACGGCGCCTCCACTCGGCCAGCTCCGCCTGCCCGCCCCCAGGGTAGGGCCCCTCGGAGACGGAGACGAGCCCCTTCTTCCGGCAGGGCGGGGAGCCTCCCAGCCCTCCGGGTCTCAGGGGCGGCCTGGAGGACCCCAGTTCCCAGATGGACAGATGGGGTCCTTGGGTGGGAGGAGCTGAATGAGAAGCCGGGCCAGAGCCGGGGGCCCTGCAGTGGGAGCTCCCAGAGACCAGACTCGGGGCTCACCTGGAGAGGGTGGGTGGCGGCCCTGGGTGAAAATGGTGGGAAAGGGTCGGAGCCTTTGGTTATGCGTAGAGTGGGCACTTGAGGTCATTTACCTCCCGCCCTGGGGCCTTTTAGGTGAGGCTGTAGAGGCAGCCAGGGATTAAAGCGACCTGGTTATATCCTCGGAGTTAAACCACCCAACCCCCAGGATGGACCCAGGGCAGCCCCCATCTTGGGACTATGCTCTTGGGTCACATGGAAGCTCCGGGGCCTGTCACAGGCTGCCTGGAATAGCCCCCTGGCTCCTGGGCGCCCACCTCTCTCGCCCTGAGGCAACCCGGTACCCGAGCACAGGGTGAGAAAGGACCTGCACTGGTCAGGAGAAACTCAGCATTTAGAGGAATCAACCATCTCCTTTCGTTAACCACTGGCCCGGGCAGGCCCCCAGCTGGCAATGTCGCCCACTCTCTGAACCAGGGAGGCACCCTCTCCAGGTTATGGTGAGACGGGGCCGTAACCCGGCCTTTCCAGGCAGCGACTGGCCGGAGGGATCAGGGCTGCTGTTGGCCTTCTGTGGGAGAAGGGGCGGGCGGAGACGTGCCCAGGGCTCAGCGCTGCTCCCTTGTGTCAAAACAGCATTCTTGGCACCAAGAGACTATCCCCATCAGCACATTGAGAGCCAGGTCAAGCCCTCCAGCTGTGAGGTGCATCAGAACTCCCGGGAGGGCTGGTTTTAAACGCTGACCAGGAAGCCCTACACCCACCGTGGGTCTGGGGGGCCTAAGGTGGGCACCAGTGGTGCTGAAGGTGGCAGTCCTGGGGTACCACGTAGCCGCTGGCACAGGGGCTGGTCTCAAATGCCCGGGAAGGTGTGGCCTTCAGAGCTTCGGAGCACGGGCAGGTTATGACACACCCGCCAGGCTGCCCACATGGCAGGCCGGACCTGTCCATTTCGGACACGTCTGCAAGGGGGCTTCTGATGAGCTCTGGGATGGGTGTGGCACACATCACAGCCACCAGACTTAACACCTGTTCCCATCCCCCTGTGACAGAATGACCAGTGCTCTGGTGTCCTGGGAAACGCCATGTCTGGCTCTGCTCATTTAGGACGGCCCATGGCTGGATACCAGCTCTGGTCACCGTGGACCCCGCTGGACGAGAGCTTCCAGTGGCTGAGGCACACGACGCCTACGCCTTCTTCCAAGCACCCTTTCAGGGCTTCCCCCTGCTTCCCACACACCCCTTCTGACCTGGAGGTGCAGCTGTGCTTTCAAGAGGTCACTCTAGTCCTGGACAACCCAGTCCCGGAAACGGGGGTGAGTCCCAAGCTACCCAGCCACACCTCCGAGCTCCGAAGCACAACCAGCAAGAAAGGGCTGGTCAAGAAGCCCCAGCCCGTGCGCCTCAGCGGCGTGGACTCCGTCTTCGGCAGGGTCATCACGGCGCAGCCGCCCAAGTGGACTGGGACCTTCCGGGTTTCCGACAAGTCGGCCTTCTGCAAGATCATCAGCCGGGAGCACCAGTGGCCCACTGGCCTGAAGGAGCCCCAGGTGCAGATGACGGTGACCATGTGCAAGCAGATGCTGCGCTCCATCCTGCTGCTCTACGCCGCCTACAAGAAGTGCACCTTCGCCTTGCAGCACTCCAGGTAGCCGGCTCCACTGGGGCCGCGCCGCGCCTCTGCTGAGCGCCGGAAGCTTCCGGAAGCCTGTCGGTGTAGCGGGACGGCGCCGCGCCCTGCTGTTGCTCTGGCAAGCAATGACCACTCGGGAGCCCCTTCCCTACCTTCCCCTCCGGGAAAGGGCCAGCAACAGAGCCGGGAGGACATTCCCACCGTAGAGCGAAACCACCATGTAAGTGTCAGCGCGCGCTGACGTGTGTGTGATTAAAGAGCCATTAAACGAACCGTGTAAACCACACGCCGCGTGTGAAGTCACTGGACACCTAAGGTCGCACTGAGGTGTGCGAACAAACGGTGGAACGAGGCTGGTTTCAGAGGGTGCAGGCGAAGGAGCCCGGGTCTGCGTGTGGGTGCCACGCAGTGAGGTAAAATGCACCTCCCCACCCAAACCACAAAAGCATGGACACCCGACACCTCTGAGAGGAAAAGTGGGTAGAAATGTTAGCAAATATGAAATAGGCACAGCCTGGCCAGAACTTGCTAGCAACACCGAAGCGTTAGGTTCCCATGCTATGAGCCTGGGCGCCAGAACCCAGCCAGCCACCCCGGGACTGGGGGCCGGGCGCCCACCGTCAGCCCCGTCCTTTACTCCTGGTTTTTATAGCTTCCGGAGGCTGTTACACGCAGATCAGACGGCAGGAATGGCCAGTACTGAACACGCCTGCTGAGCGCGGCCCACGGAGTGCTCTGCCCTGAAGGCAGCTCGCCTTGCTGCTTCCCTGTGCGCCTGGCGGGGCTTCCCTGCAGAGGCTTGCAGGGCCAGCCAGCGCAGCCTGGGACTCCTGACCTCGGAGCCTCCAGCGCTCAGGCAGCGCGGGCCTCCTTGAGCCCAGCTGCCCTGAATTCTCCTTATACTCCGAACGATTCATTCCTTGTAGTTAGATTTCTGGTACAACTAGAACACTGGGCGTAAAATGAGCATAAAGTCAACATGAGTTTAGGCTGCATTTTCCCCTTGGATTTTGTTTGCCTTAAAAAGATACTCGTCACTTCTGCAAAAAGGTCACAAAGATCGTCTCATCTCGAATAATAGAAACAAGCCTGTAATAAAGCTAATCTGTTGTCACTAATCTATTATTTCTCCACACGAACCCCAGTTCAACTCCATTCTAGTCCCTGAATAATGAAGGAAACCAGAGAGGAATAAGGCAGCTGCCACACAACTTCAAACAAACTTTATTTGTAGAAAAATCAGCCCAAAACTAGCTCAAAGCCGGAGCCAGGGCTTCCGAGCACCGCGCAGACGGCTCGCCCGGGCTGTCAGGATGCCACTGGGCACTCGGAGCGGGGAGGGTCCGCGGTGGGGCCAGGCAGTGCGAAACGCACACACGGGCAGTGACCACCCACGGCCCTCTGAGGGACAGAGGGGCAGCAGCAGACTTCAAACCCAAACCCAAGTGCTAAGAGCTGGGAGGGCGTCAGGTCTGTGTCCTAATCAGAGTCGTCGTCGCTCTCAGGACTCACTGGCTCATGTTCTCCACCACTGGCGTCATCATCTTCACCATCCTAAGGGGCAAAGGATAACTCAGGGTTTTAGTCAGCGGGGTGACCCCATGAGTTGCAGCTGCTCCCACAGGACACACAGCTGTGCTGCATCATTGTAAAAACCAAGGGTAAGTTTTAAACCATCATTTGAAAAACGAATCCAGGGCTCCCAACTCTTCGGCAGGACCCTGAAGCTAAGGCCGTGCAGCCACTGACACTGACTGAACCCATCTGCAATTGAACCAAATTTGCGTGATTTTTTTTTTTTTAAGATTGATTTATTTATGCATACAGAGCTAGGGTACAGGCCAGAGGTGCAGGGGCAGTGAGAGGCTTCACCAGAGACAGAGCGGGGAGCAGAACAGGCGGATCAACAAAGTACACTGCTGAGGGGAGCAGCGGGCGGGCCAGGGGAGGGCTGCTGCACCATGGGGTCACCTCCGGGGCAGGCGGGAATCGAACTCATGAGGAAGTGGCTTTTAGATTCTCAGTGCTGTGCTGTAACCCGCTGCGCCACCAGGGAGGGCCCAATTTGCGTGATTTTTAACTAAGCCACCTGGGCTTCAGTAAGCATGAGACACGGTGTAGGTGCCACACAGGAACAGAGCAGGGACCCGAAATCAAATACAATGTTCAAAGTTAAAAACCTTAGGGACCAAAAAAGTGGTTCTTATCTTGAGAAAAAGGATGAAGCACAGCATGTTCTGCCACAGGGGACTAGGCGATAAAAGAATCGCTCATGGTCTGTGATCTCCGTCAGCCTCAACCTGCATAGACAGCTCCGCGACACGGATTCTGCAGTCTGGGCTTCTCGGGGTCCATAACCCACCTGAGTAACCAATCTAAACGTTTATGTGTTTCTTTGGCTTTCTTCAAAGGCCCGAAGCGTGTGCAGTGGCCCACGAAGAATAAGCCTCCCTCTTACTCCAGCACTCGGAGCCGACAGCTCTTGCTCCTGTTAGCTTTCGCTGAATGCTTTCACTCCTTTTTGTACATCCACAGTAAAACCACACATTTAAATGCCTTCACTCATTCTTCCCAGTGCTCACAACCCTTATTTCCCCCTTTAAAATGGTTTCAGGGCCTCTCTGAAAGTTAAGTCCAGACTATGAAGCTATCACCAGCCGCTGCAGTGCAAGTTCGAGCCCCGGCCAGGGCGTGACCCGCACGCTGCCCCCCTCAGCAGCGTACTTCAGTCCATCGCCAGTTCTGCTCCCCACTGTCTCTGATGAATCCTCTCATCCTCTGTACCTCTATACCCTGGCTCTTGTTTGCATAAATAAATCTTTCCAATAAAATAAACAAAAAACAGGAGACTGCAACGGGAGCGTTTAGCTCAAGCATGTTCTGTAACTTGAGGTAGAAGAGTGTGTGGTTTTTCTTGCTCCCAGACTTCATGTAAGCCCAGAATCTTTTCCAGAGGACATGAAGACGGACAGAAGCATGTGATTACCAACGCAAGCAGGAAAAGTCCCGAACACTGCCAACTCAGAACGACTGCCACCAATGGTGCCCCCCCCGTGCCCCCCCAGATACCTCCTCCTCCTGTGCTTTGCTCCTGGAGACCTGGGATGAAGGGTCACCTTCACTCTCAGCCACCGAACTCTCCTGGGAATTCTGGGATATAATCTCTTCACCCTAAACATGGGCGGGCAGAGACAAATGGCGAGTTTCATGACCACAGCTGGGGCTTCAGGAGGAGAAAGACTTCGCTCAGGACAATATAAAGGAGGAAGTCTCGCCATTCCAACGCAGCCAGACACGGACACCGCGTGACAGCGTCTAGACAGGTGTGCCAACGGTTTCTGCGATGACTCTGGCCCACTGTGTACTTTTGCACAAGGCCCACCATCATGTGCTGGTATCATACTGGGCTTTACAAGGGCAGAGTGCAGCAACTCTCCAGCTACTGTTTAAGTAGTCAGTTCCGGAGTCCCTTCAGGTAGAAGCAGGCCCACACACCAGCCCCAAGCAGCCACACAGGGCAGAGGAGTGGCACACCAACATGGCCACAGAACATCAGCTTTGGATCAGGACCGCTCAGACAGAAGCCCTGGTTCGCTAAGTCACGAGTGACCGCTAGTGGCCAGCTTACCTGCAAGTCCCGGTTTTTGAGGTTGCCCAGCCAGAACGCCTCCCTGCAATTGTTGAGGACAAGCATGGCCTTCACTCTGCAAACTAACAGCTCCAGAGTCTTTTTGAGCAAAGGCACGTGTTTGGTGAGTTTCGTGTCCTGGTGAATCTGAACAGAAGCCAGCGTGTTAATGCACACCTCCTCCATCACACGCCTTCACACCTACACGGAGTGTCCGTGCCCTGAGCCCGAGCCGGGGAAGAGCCCGAGCCTCGCCTGCACTGGCCAGAGCCGCGCTCCGGGTGGGGCCGTCTGCACAGCGCTCCCAAGACCATGGACCGTCCCTCACGCAAAAGGGCAGCAGTCACCCCAGCACGGCTTCCGGGTTCTTGTCAGCCTCTTACTGACCAAAGAGCCATGAATTTATCTGTAGTATCTTGGAGCTTGTGTGACACTGACATTAATAGCTTCTGTTTGGCTCAGATTCCGTCAACCCTGCTGCTCGGCACCTCCTGCAGTGAGAACTAGGCCAGAGCGCAACAGAAACTGCTCCGAAGAGTCAATGCTTTGCCAGCGGCTGCAGATCTCGTGGCTGTGCTCTTCAGACAAGTGACGACGGCCCACCCCACAGGCTGCGAGGGGAGAAGCCCCTCAGCCCTCAGCATGTCCTCGGGCGGACAGGCGGCTCCCGGATGAGCAGCACAGCTGCGTCTCTCAGCCTTCAGCAGCTCCTCGAGGTCCTCAGCAGCCAGCAGACCCCTCCCACCAGAGCAGTGTGTGGCTCATCACAGTTCTTCACATCTTGCCGAAGAGCTTCTAAGGGGTCAAACCACAGCAGCAGCAGCCCCCAACCTCGACCAGCCACTAAGGATCTGAGTACTCTGAGCCAACAGACACAGGCCACAAGAGAAAGGCTACAGAGCAGTCTACAGCGTCCCCGCAGGTGGACAGCGGGCGGCTGGGGCGTGGCCCTTACCTTAGAATGCCCGCACAGGTGATGGAGCAGCCGCGTGCTCAGCTGGAAGGTTTCCAGTAAGCTCAGAACATCCTCCTAGAACCAACAACACTTATAAATGCTCCTTTCACCTCAGATGCAAAGTACCTTTGCAACCATGGGCGCCAAAGAGGATGACCCTGCAGGAGGGCGCCCCTGTAGGCTCCAGCCTGGTGTCGACAGTCGCCAATTTCGAGCCCCAACAGGAGGGGCTGCCTGGCCGGCGGCCTCCCCTCCGCACGGCCGAGCGAGAAAGGCGCGTGTCCTGCAAAGTCGGCTAAGGTCAACTGTGTAGGAAACTGTCATCTGTTTCTACCCTCGGCTCACTATTCTAGGCCCGGACCCCACGGGGCTGAAAGAGAACTCAATGCTGTCCATTATAGTACCAATGACTATACGACACAGGAGAGTTCCTTCTAATTGCTCTTGAAAGCAGGACTAGACAAGCGCAAAGGAAGACAGAAGCACACATGTCCTGGGCACAAGAGCACCGCAGGTCAAGCTGCAAGACACCCCTGAGGCCCGGGGAGTGGGAAGTCGTGCTGAAGGGCTTGCGCGCAGCCCACTCGGGGCACTGGGGCATCTCTGGCGAGAACGGCAGCGGGCCGGAGTGGAAGCACGAGGCCCCAGAGCCCCAGCAGGGCGGCCCCCAGACCCGCCCTCCATCACCGCGGACGCTCGTCCCGCCCTGCGCTGGGCTCTTACCCGGTGTTTCTTAAAACTGAAGTCTAGGAGCGGCATGCACTGCCTGAGGAATGCTTTCACAAAGAGATGCCCGTACTGTGGAGAGAGGAGACACACGTGAGCACCCCAAGCTGAGACCTGTGCCCCGAAGGCCCCAAGCGTGAGCCAGCAACGCACCCCCGCTCAGGGTTTTTTAAATTTTTACTTAGAAAAAAAGCCACACTGGCAGGGGTCCAAAGAGCTAACGTAGAGAGTGTAATTTAATGCACAAAGTCAGTCTGCCAACTAACCTCCCAAGCCAGGCACTTACCTTGTCAGGCATAGCCAATCGGCTCCGATTAAGGAAAGGGCATGAAAGGGGCCTCCCCGGTGGCGCCAGGGCTGAAGGGCAGCACTGAGATGCCGCCCCGGCCAGCAGACCTCAGCAGTGGATTTCAGTGGCTCACTGTTCTGCTCCCCAGTGTGTCTGGTGAATCCTCTCACCACCTCCCCCGCACCTCCGGCCTGCACCCCATCTCTTGTACGCTTAAGTAAATAAACCTTAACAGCAGCAAATGCAAAAGGGCCCCAGCGTTAGAGCACGCCCCGCCCCGTGCAGCTTGCTTCCAAGTGCAAAAAGGTGGGTAGAGCCGGAGGAGCTCCCGCCGCCCCACGACGCCCCGGCCCCGGGCTGGAGTGAGTGAGGAGGAAGACAGCCAGAGAGGACCGGAATGGCACACCTCCGTCTGGGAGGACACGCCTGAGGGGGAAGCACCCTGGGAACATTCCTCGCTCTGCGCCCACTGCGCGACCGTGACACCGAGGGCTAACCGGGCTCGCCCACACGAAGGAGTCCCAGAGTGCTCAGGACTCAGTGCCACACTGGAGGCCGCCCAGGGGCTTTGAGAGGCCTCGGCCATTCCTCCTCCCCCTGCTGCCAGGGAAGGAGTGGGAGGGAGAGCAGCTGCCGGCGCTCATGACCGCGCCCGGCCCCTCCTTATCCTAAGACCCAGACTGAAAGTTTCAAGCAGACGGGCTCCCCCAGTCCTCTGACTCTGGAGAGGCGGCCAGTGTCTTCCCCAGCCCAGCACCAACCCTGGGGACGGGGGCTTATGGGCAGGTGAGCCCTTCCCCTCAGCTGGCGCCCTCTCTGGAACCCACGGCAGGAATAAGTAAGTATGAAGAGGGGAGCCCCTCACCTTCAGACACACGTGCAGAACGGGGCGACTATCGAACACCTGCAGAGAGAGGAGCCGAAGCTGAGGCGTGCTGCACTGGGCACCAGCTTCTCTCCCACTGGCTAAGTCTGGGTGTGGGAGAACTTACAGGGGTCCGGCAGGGCTCAGGGCAGTGACACTGCAGAGCAGCCATCACAGTGAGGCCCAAGGAGAAGGGGGTGCACGTGAGGGAAGATGGCACTCAGAGGGGCAAGTGCGCACCCGTCTCCAGAAGGGCGGGCAGAGAGGCGGGAGGGAGAAAGACAGTGGGAACCGCCTGACGAAAATCCGGAGCGGGCGCGCACAGAGTGAGCCTGAGGGGCTGGCGGGGTGCTGGGTGCGCTCAGATCAGAGCCCAGCGAGAGGCAAGTCAGTGCGGGACTGATGCTGGGAGGCCACGAGGAGAGAGGGGCCGAAGGGAAGTGACGCGGCCCAGGGAGACAAGGGGCTGTCCGCAGGGAAGGGGGACGAGGCAAGAGGTTGGGGGCAGCGCCCCAGTGAAGGGTGGTGAGCGGAGACTCCCTTTCGGAGGTCAGCACCCTTGCTGTGTCTGCGGGCGGCAGGGAGACGGCCAAGAGCCGGCACCTTCATCAGGTTGACGAGGACGCTGAAGTCGCGCACCGCCATGTTCCAGTAGAGCAGCTTCTCCTCGTGGACCTGCAGCGCAAGGGCACAGCACCTCTGTATCCGGCCAGCGCCTCGCTGCCCGGCCTCCACGGCCATTCAGGGACTTGAAGCCAACTACCCACAGGGCCGCGGCTCCCCCGTGGCGCAGGAGCCTGCCCGTGCAGCCTCAGGGACCCCGAACAGTTTTTCATAGAAGAGGGCTGCCCCACAGTGGTTTACAAGTAGGAAAAAGCGTCCGCCCAGTGCCCCCTGGTCACCAGCCCCTCTAGCTGGCCCATTCGGGGTCCAGATCAGCTCAGCACAGGCCGCCGAGGCCGAGGCCAAGGCCAAGGCTAGCTCTCCCCAAGGACCTGAGCCCACCTCCAACGCGAGGGAGGAAATGAAAGCATAAGGCAATCCTGAGCTGGCAGATCGAGGAAAAGCTTGGGAGAAAACCCAGACCCACGTGCTGCGGGTCTGTGGCCGCGCCAGGCTGCAGGTCTTTCACAGTCTTCTCCAGCTGCGCCATCATCACGCGGAAGAAGACGACAAAGGTGTTCCTAGGAGGGCGGCACGCACGCTGGTCAGGCCTCCTGGGGACAGGCCAAAGCCACGGCCCTCCCCGCCTTCCCGCAAGTGCTCTCCCCAGGGTCCACTGTGGGAGCTTGGGGCCTGGGAAGGACTCAGAGTGAGTCCAACCCAGTGGGCACACGGCCACCAGAGTGGAGGCGGCGGGCGGTGTGAGGGCAGCAGGGCTGCTGGGGCAAAGATGGCGGCCACTCTTGGGCCCACACCCCTCTAGCCCTCCCTTTGCGCGCTGGGGTCATCCGCCAAGACCTCCCTTTGCGCATTAGGGTCACAGCACGCGTCAAAGGAGCCTCGGAATACATTACAAACTGTGCAGGCCAACATTACGAGGCACAAAACCCATTAAGGGAGCGCGCGATAGACAAAGTCGGCCTTTTCTTTTGCAGGTGGTTAAGGTACCAGAAAGACGCCTCAAGCTGACAGGAAGAAAGCAGTGACCAGAGAAGTTTACTGGCTGATGGTCACCGGAACTGGCTGAGTCCCCTGGGGGTCAAGCCCGCCTGTAGCTAACTAGAGAAGGGAGACAGTCCTTTGGGAATCAGCCGGTCAGCGTGATCGCACCTCGGCAAAGAGCAAGAGGCGAGAGGTGCTTCACCTGGTCAGCGTAGGGAATGTGGCAGAAGAGGCATCTTTAGAAGAGTTGATCAGTTCCGGGACACCGACGCCCGCAATCTCCTCTATGGCCTTCAGGACGCTGTCCGTGTGCTCCAGGTAGATGCTGCGTGGAGAACCACAGGCATGTGAGCTTCTGCTCCAGAGCGCGGAAGCGAGATTCCTTTCCTGAGTTACCACCAGATATTAAGCTTTTATGTCTGGAGGTAAAGACAATGATGTCTCAATTCAAAACAACACTTGGACATCCTAGAAGTGAAGGGTGTGTGGAGGAGACAGTATCCGACTCACTGACTATCAAGGTAAGAAAGACAAAGCCAGACTCCTCTCCTTCCTCTATGACTAACAAGAAATTAGTTGACCGTATAAACGAGAACTACAATCTATAGACTACAATGTCTGTTAAATTATTTTTAAGATTTGTTTTTATTTAATTATGCACATAAGAGCTGGGGTGTAGGCCAGAGGTGCAGGGGTGAGCAGACTCACATGATACAGTGGGCAATAGGCAGACAGGAGAGGTCTGCTGCGCCCTGTGGGTCCCTCGGCCGGGGATCGAACTCAGGCTGCAGTGGCTACAGACAGCCTCACAGTGCTGACTCACCCCTCGCACTACCAGGGAGCCCCACTTCTGTTAATCTTTAACCTACTTCACCACTAAGCAAGGCTATTTCTCAGTCTGACCAGAGGAGGGACCAGCTGTGCCAAAACAGGAGGCTGTCTCACAGGAAGAAGCCCAAGCATCTCACCAGAGCAAAGCATGGAGCTGGTCATTGAGGGCAGTGCGGTTCTCCTCGCCACCTGGCCACACTCGGCAAAGGAACTGTCGGGCCAAGGACGCTGGTTGAGAAACAAAACAAAGACATCTCATGCATGGAAAATGAAATCTCAGCCTTTCAGGCTTTGGGGAAGACTACTGAGCATAAGGATTATTCTTTTAAAATTATGCCCAAAATCCCTGGTTTAACTTTAAATCAGCATCACGAGTTCCTGTTCCAGGAATGCATCCATTTGTCTGAGACCCAACACCTCCCCCCATCCTGTCCTGAAACACATGAACATGAGCACACTTGACACACACACACACACACAGAGAAGAACGCCGTAAGCGGACTCTGTTCCTACTGGACATGCCAGTAAGCAGTGGCCATCCACGCAGACTCAGACCAAGCCCTCCCCACCCCCCTTTTTTTTGTGCATCCGGAATTGGGGTCGAGGCCAGAGGTGCAGGGGCGGTGAGCAGATTCACCAGAGACAGAGCGGGGAGCAGAACAGGCAGACTGACAAAATACATTGCTGAGGGGAGCAGCAGGGAGACAGGAGGGGTCTGCCGCGCCCTGTGGTCACCTCCGGGGTGGGGATCGAACTCGCACGAGGTGGCTGCGGCCAGCTTGCAGTGCTGCGTCCTAACCCACTGCGCCACCAGGGAGGGCCCCAAGCCCTCTCCTTCTAGTCCACAGGAATAACAGGCCTGTTTCGCATTTCTGTCTTGCTTCCTGCTTGTGCTGCCAATTTGGATGTGCGGCCAGTGAGCTGCACTCCAAGAACAATGACAAGAGCAGGTCACAGAAAGATGAGGGACAGGATTGAGCCTTTCTTTGTATACAGTTCTGCTTTCTCCCTTTTTCCTCATTTTTATGCCTTTTATCAAATGGCTCATCTAATTAAAAAAAAAAGGAAGGCCATGAATAAACATAAACCAAACAGAGAATTATCTAGTCAACCGAGCTAAGTGAAGCCAGACTAAGGAATAATAGCAGCACAGACCAGTCATAGCTCCTTCCAGGGAAATGTCACTTCAGACATCCAGTCACACGGATATTTGCTTGTAAAATACGAAAGTGCCTAGTCTGTAAGCTTCAGTTTTAATCATATTCATGAAGAAAATAAATCGGAGGTTCTAAGCCAATCACCAATTTTTTCCTTGTTCTGAGCAGGAGCTGTGGATTTCTCCAGAATGGCCATCAGAAGCCTGATAAGATACAGGGCACACTGGAAAGTAGGGACGCTGTGACAGAAGTTCTGTAAGTAGTGGAAGCTCTGGCTGTAAGGAGACAGAAATCAAAGCAACACAAACATTACAGAAGTGTCCAAATCCATGAACTAAGCTCACGGAAGGGCTCCACAGTCCCCTCTTTGTGCGCCTCCTCTTTTCACTTTCCTTGTAAAGAAACCTTGTATTAACTGTCCAAAAAAAAGACTGATGGTTGAATTTTCAGCACTTTAGAGCACAGTTCTTTGAGGCTCATCAGAGAACTATGACTTTATATGGACAAAGGCCAGGCAGAACGGAAGCCAGGTCTAGGCGGGACCGGAAGGTGTCATGAACCAGCCAAGAAACCCAAAGACCAGTCCAGGCCACGCGTACCTGTGAGGGGGCATCACAGTATGTCCAAAATTGTACCAAAGCAAAACGAGAGTTAACTCTTGACTGACCGACAGGGAGAAGTCAAACCAGTTCAATGGCCCTGCCCTGCTGGAGAGGCGACAGGCACCGACACGGAGGGGGCTGGGCTCTCAGGGAGGTGGGAGAAAGCCCCCCTTCCTCCGAATGAGCTGAGGGAGGAGGCTGGGAGCCACGCCAAGACCCCTCTTCTTCCAAGGGGGTGGGGGTGCAACCAGCGTCTCCTGTGACGCAGCCCCACCAGAGACCAAGCAGAACCCCAAACAGTCATGAGTTGCCTGGAGCTGGTCAGAGCTTTCTTCAACCCCGAAAAGTCAAACTTCGCAGGCTGGTGGCTGCATGATGACTTGGTATGATTAGCCCACGGTTTCTAATGCTTCAGGATTTTACGAGAAAGCTCATCTATCTGAGAAAAAGGAGTTGAAAACGATCATTCTTCACAGCCACTGAGAGACACTCGAGTTGTCTGCACGAGACCTGGCGCACGCTGCCCCAGGGGTGACCGAGGCGAGTGGTCTGTCTGACCCACCTGAGCAGTTCTTCCAAGGGCTGGTCAGGCTCCACCTGCTTCAGTCGATTAGTAAAGACCTCGAGGGCGGAGTAGAGCAAATTCTGATTTTCAGGCAGGCAAAATCCATTCCTAAGGGCACATCAGCAAAGTTTAGCTGCAGGCAGAGCACTCGGGCAGCACCTGAAGGCCTTGAGCATGTATGACCAGCAAGTCAAGAGAGGACTCAAGTGCTGAAGTCCTCAAGTGCCCAGTGGCCACAGCTCTGAACACCAGACTAGGAGAAGCAGCCCACGTGAGTTTCCTCGAGGGCCTAACAGGCCTCCCAGAGTATCTGTTAATTTTTAGCATTTGATATAAGTGGAATAAAATATTATATACTCTCATGGTCTTGCTTTTTACTCAGGACCTTTTCTAACCCATGTTGGCTCGGGAATGTTCCACTCTATGGACAGAGCAAACTTTGTCATCCAGTAACTGGCTGGCAGACATTTGGGAGCTTGCATTTTGGGGCTGTTGCAAATAAAGCTGCTAGAAACACCTGCTCACAGGACGTGTGGGCATAAGCTGTCCTTCCTCCTGGGCGAGCACCTAGGAGTGGGTGCTAGGCTCTACGGGAGGAGTATGGCCACCTTTCAAGGGAACTGCCATCCTGTTTCAACGATCCAGGCCCTCCAGCAGCACACCCCACAACTCTGCCGACGCTCGCAAGGTAACCCTTTTCACTCTACATGCTGTGATTCTGACTTACATTTCTGTGACACTATTCAGGATGTTGGTCAAGCAGTGTTTGAGTACTGAAGACACAACGACTGTTTCTGTCTTCAGACAGTGAAGTACACACAGTTTGCCGGGAAAGACAGATGAAAAAGTAAACTAAAATACCAGTTTCTAGCATGGGAGTTAGGAGAGAAATGGGGGACAGGGTAGCAGGATGCTATGTGGCCTCGGGGCTGGAGATGCCTCCCAGGAGGTGGAGCTTCAGTCCAGACCTCAAGGATGAGTTCAAGAAGACTGTGGATCATGGGGTAAGGAGTCCAGTGGCAGGAAGAGTGTGTGAGAAGCCTTCAGGGGGAAGCTAGACAGCACTGAGAGTAACTCTACGTGGCTGGCAGGCAAAGTGCAGGGCGATGCATGAACTAAATGTAACCAGGTAATAAAAGCTCAAGACACTACTTAAGCATTTATATTAAAAAATCTGGCAGCAGTCTTCTGCCCACCTGTGCCTAGGCAGGGCCTCTTTTCCGCCAGCTCTGTCCCTCCGCAGGGCAGCGGCCTCCTGCCTGCCGGTGACCTGCACCTGCCGGGGCTTCTCTGCACTGCCCCC